GGCTTTAGGGTTTTAGGGGTTTTAGGGCTTTAGGGTTTTAGGGTTTAGGGGTTCAGAGTTTTAGGGTTTAGGGGTTCAGAGTTTTAGGGTTTAGGGGTTCAGGGTTTTAGGGTTTTAGGGGTTTAGGCTTTAGGGCTTTAGGGTTTTAGGGTTTAGGGGTTCAGGGTTTTAGGGTTTTAGGGGTTCAGGGTTTTAGGGCTTTAGGGTTTTAGGTTTTAGGGGCTTAGGGTTTAAGGCTTTAGGGCTTTAGGGTATTAGAGTTTACGGCTTCAGAACTCAATGGTGCATCGGGCCTAATTTCTGGGTTGAGGACTGAAGATCTCTGGGGTGTAGGGGTTTGGGGCTTAGGACGTCAGGCTTATTCATAGGTATTTCTTGGGGTTCTGTTGCCAGGACTTAAGACTTCCCTAAACCCTCTAAACCCTAAGCCACTTATGCAAGGGTTATAGGGTTCTGGAGGATTGAAGGTTTATTGGGTTCAGTGTGTAGGGCTTAGGGAGTTTGGGGGGGTAGAGCCCCTGCCTAGACTTGTACAAGCTCTAATCGCCAAATTTCCTCTAGGTTGCTGTTTATTATGACTGCCTGATAAAAGCCCATGACCGAAAAGGCACGACTTTTGGGGTTCAGCCATACAGCTTCGATTCGATTCGGCTCAGGTCTCTCAGACGTTGGGCTGGTTTGGAAAGGGGGGGGGGGGGTGAAGCCTATCGAGGGCTCCTGAAAATGGGAAATCACGACTGATATGCTGTTAGGTCCGGGCTTGAAATCATCAGTACCTTGCAGAATTCGGTTGTTCCCTGTTCTTGGGTCAAGCTATAACAACCTGTGGTTTCCGAGGCGATTGTAGTGGAGCTTGGTTGTTGAGAGTTTGAGTTTTCCTACCTAGCTACAAGGAATAGGAGCGGTATCGATCATCCTTTTTCGCACAGTTCACCCGAGGACCCGTTTAGGGTACTCGTGGTGAGTCGTTCGATGGTTCTCACCCGGCAAGCGCTAACCCCTTAACCCGCACAGCTTTTGATTGTTGTAATTGATTTTGGGGCTTGGGGCATGATTCATGGCAAAAGCTCTTTGAATCTCGAAGTTATGGGCTGTTCAAAACTTAGCTCCCCTATGCCCAACATTCAAACTTTTTGGGTTCTTATAGTATAGTAGTAATCTGAAAGTTTATCTTTTTATTTCCCTAACTTTTTTTGGAAGTACCAAAATCTGTCAAGAAGCGGCGTTTGATGCATCGGGGTCTCCATTGGGTTTAAGCCCTAAACCCTAAAGCCTAAACCCTGTAAGCCCAAAAGCCTAAGCCCTATAAGCCCTATAAATACAGCCAAAACCCTATAAACCCGAAAGCCCAAACCCTAGAAACCCCATGAACCCTAAAGCCCAGAGATGGTTCACCACGGAATCACCAAACCTCGAACTCCAGACTTCCAAGGTGCCGGAGAATTTGATGCGCTTGACCTACAATACCGTGGTATGGTCGCAGTTCTGAAGGTTTAGGGTTTAGGCTTTAGGGTTGGGCTTTATAAAGGATAGCTTTGAGTTTAAGGTTAAACAAAAGGTTTGGAGAAGATCACCCTGAAACTGGAACGCCGCTAATAAGATATGGCTTTCAGATAGTTATTGTCTGTCCTGTCCCGTTCATTTAGGGCCGGGTTGGGGGGTCTTGGTCCTTGCAACCAGGATGTGGCCTTGGAAAGCTGAGTCGCCTAAACCCTAAACCCTAAATCCCAAACCCTAAAGCCTAAACCCAATGAGCCCTCGAGCTTCTTGTTGTACGTTCGAAACCTACAGCAGCGGTGAAGTCCTTGCCACTCCCACACGTGCCGAAGGCATCGCATGAACCATCCAACGAGATGTTGTGACGCCGTTCAATGCAAGCCGCCCCTAAACCCTAATCCTTGTGCCTTATAGGCCCTAATTACACCCTATAAGCCCAAAGCCCTACGAGTTGCGCTAAGATCCTGGTCAACATCCCTAAAACAAAGCGCCTCAGAAAAAAAATATATCAGAAATCGAACGCAAGGCTCCAGCAATCCAACAAAAAGTCCTTGCTTTGAGGTCTATAGAAGCTACAAGTGGTCCTATAAGTGGTCCCTAACTTAGAGCTGTTAGGAGCCCCAACCCTGCCGGCCACGTCCTAAACGACTTCAATCCTCTCTGAAGTTCTAAACACCTACTGCTTATTAGAGCTCTTTGCATGCCCTATAAGCCCTTGCTAAAACCCTAGTCCGGAAATCCGCCCGACTTCTTCCTGAGCCCTACATGCCAAAGGCCGAAAGGCCTAAAGACCAAGACTCGAGGTTTTGGGTTTGAGGTCTTGCACACCGGGGCACGTCCCTAAAGTACAGCCTCTAAGGCCTCAACCCAAATCCCTGAAGCCCATAAACCCTAAAGCCTATAAGCCCTCAGCCCTAAACCCTAAAGCCTAAAAGCTCTCAGCCCTAAACCCTAAAGCCTATAAGGCTTCAACCCTAAAGTCCTAAGCCTTGCCCAGAGACAAGGTTATCAAGGCATGCGCTAACGCGGCCAACCTCATCGAGGTGCCATCCCGAAGGGTGCCAACGACTTTCGATGGGGACAACAGAAAGCATGTCAAGATTTTTAGAAGCCCTACTTTGGGCATGGGGGTCGGGTCCGAGCACCCCCCTCAGAATCGTGGTTATATGTCCTGAAGCTTGGTGTTTATTCCGCCCGAGGCCCCAGACCCTAAACCCTGAACCCTAAACAAAAGATGTAGGAATTTGGAGCCGGGAGCCATAAGAAAAAACAATCTAAATCCTATATATATATATATATATACACCCTAAAGCCTCAACGAGACTTCGACACGGAGTGCTCCGCTGCTGTGAGAGCCTCACCCTTGCCGCGGCTTTGCCAAGAGGGCAGCTGGGTTTTGCAGTTGTGGGTTTAGAATTTGGGAGTTAATATAAGGGCCTGAATAATTAGAATAGGGTTTTGGGGCTGGGGCCATTTTTTGTATAGTTATAATAAGGAGCCCCCAAAAATAATGTTGGTAATTATTCAGGCCCCTACAGTAGGTCTTGAGTTTGGGGCTTTGACTTTGTAGGGTCTATACCCAAGGGCTCCTATAGTTCCTTTTTGGATAGTATACTAGAACTCCTTACCAAAAAGCCATAACAAACCCAAAAAGGAACTACTTTGGAGGCGCTGGGTAGGGGCTCAAGGTCTGCAGTCGTCTTTTGCATGCGAGTCGCACACCAGCCGTGGTCACAAAGCAAGCTCGGCAGTACTGGCGGGTTACGAGTGTTGCAGATCACAGCATGACTGTAGGTGAAACCTTATACCCCGAATCTCCAAAACCTGACGGCATGAGTCCTCCAAGACTCTAGTAAGCTTTGGAATTCTTGAACCTTTGCAGAGTTCTAACAGACGCCGTTTGTTCAGGTGATACCCTAGACCTTAAGCCCTACAGTGACCCGCTCTTCACGGGGACCCCATGAGAGGTAGTACCCTATACTACCCTTAAAAGGGGACCCAAGTTTAGTACCCTATATAGTTTAGGGTTTAGGGTTTAGGGTTTAGGGTTATAGTACCCTTAAGGGCACGCCAGCAACCATGGTTTTGAGCTCTCACACAGCAGGCCGAACGATGGTACGGCCGATTGCTTGGCGCAGGGTTGCTTCCGAACAAGGCCGGAGGGTAGTTTTAGGATCTAGGGTTTGTAGTTTATGGCTTATGGTTGGGAAGGGCAGCAAGTTGCAATTGCAATCCAACCTTGTATGTAAATATGCAGGCCACTACACCGATTGTTGATTTTATTTGGGGTCGGGGAGTGGCAGGCAAGGATGAATGCAGCCAGGAACAATGTGAAAAGACGTTGGGACTCCCACTTTCTAGTTCAAGTTCCGAGATCTGAGCAATTTCAAGCTGGCTATCCACGACTAACATACGAATCATAGCAAGTGTGACTTGTCGATTTTAATCTTTACTCTCGTCCTTGCCTGGGTCTCGTTCTTGGTCGTGTCTTCGTATCGACAGTAGTACTACTTGTCTTACGCTTGTAGTCTGGCATTGTTGCTAGCAGCTTTCAGCGCAGCTTCTGTGATGGCACCCCTAAACCCGCCCGAATAGCCGCAATATAGGGGCCTTAATCATTACCTTTACTACTTTGCGAGTTCCTTTTTCTAACTACAGTATAATATACCCCCAAAACCCCGTTCTAATTATTGAGGCTCCTACCTTATACAACCCCGAAAAGCCCTAGTCCCCTACAAGTAGCCTAAGAGCCCAAAACTGCCCCAAACCCAGAGCCTCTACTCCCAAAAAAACCTTTTAAGGTTTACTGTGAACCCTTTAAGGTCCCTGCAAAACCCCTCTATAAACCCTCAGATTCTTAACTGCAGGAGACCGCTGGGGGTTTATTATCCTATAATGATACTAAGGAGCCCGAGTTATAGCATGGAGCCCGGATAATAATACGGAGCACGAATTATAAGAACAAGTCTTAATTAGAAGAAGGAGCCCCCCCAACAAAAAAAGTGGTACTGGTATTTATTTAGGCCCCTGTAGAAGATGCAGCCTCGAAAACTGTAAGAACTCCCTGCAAAAAATCCAAAGCTAACAACCCTTACAAAACTAAGGTTCTTGAGTAGGACCCGTTTTGCCCCTTTTCTTTTCGGGCTCCCTGATTAAAGCCGACTAGTAGGAACAAGGGTACCCTTGTTACTAAGGGGCTACTGGGGAACCTAGAGACCCTTGAGACCCTTAAACCCTAAACCCCCTAAACCCAAACCCTAAACTCTAAACCCTAAACCCCCTAAACCCCAAAGCCCTCAACTCTAAACCCTAAACCCCCTAAACCCAAAACCCTAATCCAAACCCTAAACTCTAAACCCTAAACCCCCTAAACCCCAAAGCTCTCAACTCTAAGCCCCAAGAGCTCTTAGGGTTTAGGGTTTAGGGTTTAGGGTTTCGAACTGCAGGAGACCTTTGGGAAGCTGTCCAAGGCCGCTGCCAAAGCAGGGGACCTGAAGTCGGCGGCGCAGTGGGTCGAGGACGCCTTTAGGGATATAGGGTTTAGGGTTTAGGGATATTGGGTTTAGGCTTCAGGGCTCAGTGTTTTGGGCATTTAGGGGTTAGGGTTGAGGGTCGAGGACGCCTTTAGGGGGGGGACAGGGCTTGGGGTTTAGGTTTTGGAGTTTTTGGGTTGGGGATTTTGGGGGTTTAGGGTCGAGTACGCCTTTAGGGGGGAGACAGGGTCTGGGGGTTTAGGTTTTGGAGTTGAGGGTTGAGGGTTTTGGGGTAGGGCTTAAAGAGTTTAGCGTTTAGGGTTTTGGGGTTATGGTTTAGGGTTCAGGGTTTGGGGGGTTTTGGGTTGAAGGTCTAGGGTTGAAAGAATTTAGGGTTTCGGGTTTTGGTGAATTTCGGGTTTAGGGTTGAGGGTTTTGGGGGGTTTAGGGTTGAAGGTTTAGGGCTTAAAGAGTCTAGGGTTTAGGGTTTTGGGGATTTAGGCGAGATTCATAGGGTTCCGGGTGTAGTTTAATTTTCTGGGTTTCATATTTGTTGCTTCTAAGGGTAATTTTCCTGTTTGTTCGTTCTGGGTTTAGCGTTTGAATGGAATGCTTGGCAGTTTTGCAGTAGTTCAGTAGTGTTTATCTTTGGGCCTGCACATCTTTACGTTGTTCTATGTATGTATAGCGTGCTGTATTACAGAGATTCTCTCAGGATTTTGCTCGGTTTTTGCCAGGTTCTGCGGGAGGATTGGAAGGGGTCATGAGGTTTCTTCAGGGTTCTATCTATCAAATGTTACTTTTAAACCCTGAACCTTAACCCTAAGCTGTAAAGGCGTCGGATCTTAGGAAAGCTTTAGTTTAAGCCTGTATACTGTATACAGGTACGGGTGTTTGGGCGTTTGGCTTTTCATGCCTGGGTTTGGGGCGTTTTGGCCGTAGGGCCCTGCAGCCCATTCAAGTAGCTGGGTTCTGGAGTACCATACTTGAATACTTGTTTGGGGGACCTGTTCCTTCAGGGAACCATTATGAAATTAAAGTCTATACTTTTTCCTAAACCCTAAACCCTAAACCCTAAACCCTAACCCTAAACCCTAAACCCCTAAACCCTAAACCCTAAACCCTAAACCCCTGGTTACTTCAAAGTCTAGAGTCAGTTGAAGGCTTCCTTGTCTCGAGGCCCGCGGAGAGAGCGAGCTCGAAGTAAATCAAGTGGCGATGATGCTTGGCACGTCTACTGTAGTAAATCACTAGGGTCTAGGGTTTAGGGTTTAGTCTCCATTGTAGTTCCTGTTTTTGGTTTAACCAAATATCTATTAAGGATTTTATAAGGTATCCCAAAAAAGGAACTAAAATGGAGACTACAGGTAAATCACGAGGAGGTCTTCCATCACAGAGCTCTCGAGCACTGATAAGAGCCTGAAATCCTGTAGCAAAAAAGCATTAGCCTTCTGAGTACCCTCAACCCGAACAGCAAGGCCCCTAAAGGGCGTAAAGCCCCCATCATGTCAGCCCCAACCCCTAAACCCTAAACCCTAAACCCGTAAACCCTAAACCCCCAAGCTTACACTTGCTAATAGGGCTGTTAGGACTCAGGAGCCCGAGTATAGAAGCCTGAGAAGTTCGTAAAACTCGACTCCAGGGTTGCTCCTTCTTAGGGTTTTAGGGTTCTAGGGTTCTTAGGTTTTTAGGTTTAGGGTTCTAGGGTTCTTAGGGTTTTAGGGTTCTGGGTTCTGGGGTTCTTAGGGTTTTAGGGTTTAGGGTTCTGGGGTTCTGGGTTCTAGGGGTTTAGGGTACGAGGTGTTCTAGGGTTCTGGGGTTCTAGGGTTCTAGAGGGTTTGGGGCAGAATGCCCCCGCAAACCCTATTGTGACTATTGAGGCCACCCGGTCAATCCAAGCGCCCAAGCCCGGAAGCTTTCTTCTGGGAGCATCTTGATCGACGCTCAACCCTTAAATCCTCAAACAAAGCCCTAAACCCCAACACCCCGAACACACAAAATCCTAAGAAACCCTAAAGCCCTAAACCCCATACGCCCTAAAACCCCAAACCCGTACTAAGGAACATTTAAACCCTAAACCCTAGACCCAAAAAAACAAAACCCTCAGGAACATCTAAATCCTAAACCCTAAACCCCAAACCCTAAAACTCCAAAACCTAAAACCCTGAGGAACATCTAAATCCCAAACCCTAAACCCCGTACACCCTAAACCCCCAAAACCCCTAAGGAACATCTAAATCCTAAATTCTAAACCCCAAACCCTAAAACCCCAAAGCCCTCAGGAACATTTAAATCCTAAGCCCTAAACCCTAAACCCGAAAACCCCAAAACCCCAAAACCCTAAGGAACATCTTGATCGACGCCTCCTCCAAGAGTGGACAGGGCTCAGAAGCTTCTCAGTGGCTTGAAACTTGCATTGCAGTTACTATAGGGGCCTTAATACTAACTTAGAATAGGGCCCATTCAAAGGGATCCTTAACGGGTTCTATAAGGGATCCATAATGGGGTTCTACGTTAGGGGTCTGAAGAATTAGAATAGGGTTTTCCGGGGGTTCTTTGTTAAGGGTACCTTAAACGGTTCTATATGGGCTGCTACAATAAGGGTTTAGGGTTTAGG